TCCCCGAGAGCCACATCAGACACCGCCCGGGATGAGTGCCAGGGGTGGGGTTGGGGGAGAGTAGAGGCCCACACACCGAAAAGGGGCCAGGGTTGAAAAACACTGGCTTAGCCAGTACTTCTTGGCCCCATGCAGGCTGTTCTTCCCTTGACTTCAGCACCACACCTCTTGTGGGGCTGGATTCAGGGCTCAGTTCTGCAGTACTTTACTGTGGCTAGAACAGCAGTTCCTCAAGGTGCAAAGTTTGAATGCCAAATTGGTACATATGAAAGAAGCATGAGGCATGATGGAATAACGGATTTTGCTTTGTTCTACTCTGATGTTGTTACTTGAATTTGTTTCCTTCCCCACCCCCTCTATTTGGCTGGATAACTAGGTGATATATTTACTCATTTAGAGCTGTTTTCTCACCACCACAATCTAAATGGGCTCTAGGCATTAGGTACTATCCATGATTAATAATAATAGAAAAATATAATAAATTATTAAAGCTGATCTTGGCTCAATCTGAAAAGCCCTCCAGCAAAACCAGGATTTTACCTGCTTCTAAAAGGCCATGAGAGTGGAGGCTGTCCTTTCCTCGGGGTGGGAGAAGGGGTAGAGACAGGTTTTTCCATAGGGTGCCCCACCACCACCACCAGAGAACACCTGCTGCCAGGCATCCTACCCCTGCATCTCCCGATAGGCAGGAACCTTTAGCAGACACTCTCTAGCCATCTGGACCTGGTGAGCAGAATGTCTCTGGGAGAAGCAATCTTTTAGATGCCATGCTATGGCCATCTATATAGGGCTTTACAGGTAGGAACCAAGGCCTTGAATTGCACTCAAAAACACACTGGTAACCAGCACAGCTCCCACAGCAGTTGTGTAATATGGCAGTACTGCAGCTGGCTAGCGAGCCTGTGGACCACTGCAGTTTGGATCAGCTAAAGTTACTGGATGGTCTTCGAGGGCAGTCCCATGCAGAGCAGATCATAGTAATCTTAACAAAAAGATGACTGGCTATCCTCCACATATCTTGTTCTAGGTAAGGCTGCAGTTGGTGCCCCAGCTGAAGCTGGGCAAAGATCCTCCTAGCTGCAGCTTCCACATTTTTCCAGCATGAGCCTCAAGTTTGGGATTGCCCCCCAAAATGATGGTTCTGTGGTGTCTGGAGGAGCACAACCCCATCAAAGATCAAAGTTAGTGCAGTCCTGAAAACAGCTTCTGCATTAAGTATTCCCTCTTGATTGGGATGACTCAGACTATATCACTACATCCAGACCCTAGTAGTCTCCAGGCACTCTTGCTATTGTGTTTGACTGTTAGCCAGCCTTGGTTGTGCTGACTGGGGGTTATGAGAATTGAAGTTCAGCTTCTCCAGAGGTGCCAGTTAGTGGAAGACTGTTATAAAATTGCTGGACATGACCAGTATGTGTTTCTTTTAAATCTCTGCAGCCCTTAGAAACATATAAATGCTTTTCAAACTACGTGGTTTTCTTGTGTGCCCCATAGGCTTACAAATGGTGTATAGAAGCAATGAAGGAGATCTCAGTTGGTTTGCCTGTAAAAGTAGTAGTGGATGTTTTACGGCAAGCTTCAAAGGTGAGTTTAACAAATTACTTATATGCAGCTGAGGAGGACTGGAAGTCAGACCATTTTTCTTTAGGAGCCAGGACCTACAAGAACCAGCTTTCTTGAGAGCTGAGAAAATAAATATTGACAAAAGTCTTCCTATGGGCAGAGGAAAGAATACCTAAATGTTGGCCCTCTGTCTACACTCTGTGGCTATATCATGAACTGCTTTAGGATGAATAGTTGAGATCACAAGCTCAGTTTTAGGACTTCATTCTAGGTATGGGGGGTGGCAGCCAGAGGCAGGACGGGCCTTTGAATATTCATGGAGTCTAATTTCTTCCTTCTGCTTTAGGCTTGCGTTGTGAAACGTGAATTTAAGAAAGCTGAACAATTGATAAAACACGCAGTGTACCTAGCACGGTATGTAAGATAAATCTTGAAATGCTACAACATACTAAATCTTTTGTGAAGATTTTGTGACATTTCTACCTGAGATGTTTCTGATTTTTTTTTTCTTAATCTTTCAGGGAGCATTTTGGAGCCAAACATCCTAAATATTCGGACACTCTACTTGACTATGGGTTTTATTTACTCAACGTAGATAACATATGCCAGTCAGTTGCAATTTACCAGGTATGGCTTTGGTTTTGTTGTTTAGTGCAAACCGGTAGCGTGTTACTGTTGTAGTGTCCAATGCTTTCTGCCCCACAAGGTCAGTGAATAAGCACACAAAAGTAAAGTGAAAGCAGAAAATCACGAAGTTGCTTGATGCCTAATTTTGAGCTTAATCTCAACTAGAACAGAAGCTGGCAATATGATGCAAGAGAAAAAAGGAGGAGGGAGGGAG